TGTTGTAGGTCTTTGGTGCTGGTCTGTGGGTTGACTCTGACTATTCTCAACATCCTTCACTTCTGTTTATTACTGTGCCTGTGGTCCTACATTTTCTCACAATGTTTCTCACAGTGGAGACTGAAAGCTGAAATCTCTGAGACAGCTTTCTGTATCCTTCCCCTAAACCATGACGGAGAACAATCTTTGTTTTCGGCTCATTTGAAAGTTGTTTTCAGACTCCCATGCTGCCACTCTTCAGAGAAGATGCAAAGAGGAGAAAAACTTACAATTGCCCCCCTTAAATACCMTTTCTCATAATTGGAGTCACCTGTGTATGGAGGTCAAGGGTCACTGAACTTACCAAACCAAATTTGAGTTCCAATAATTAGTTCTAAAGGTTTTGAAATCAATAAAATGACAACAGCGCCCAAATTTATGCACCTGTCTAATTTTGTTTAAACAATTATTGCACACTTTGTGTAAATCATAAAAACTTCATTTCACTTCTCTGTTCATGTGGTTTGCTTCATTATCACTTGAGTCAAATAAACTACAGAGAACAGATCTGTTGGCTTTGTTTCCCATCAACAAAATGTTTTATTTTTAATGAACTTCCAAAATCACCTCATATAAATACCAGAACACCTTAAACAACGTCAGCCTGAATGTGAGTTCTGGTGCTGGGAGGTCATATATGCTAAGCTCTGCTGTATCTAGTTTGTTTTCTTGTGATTCTGCTTCAGTGATGATATCAGGACCACATGTGGGGGGGATGAGTCAGAGTGTAACATCATACCAGCTGGTGACGGTCAGAGGTGAGTGTGTGTCTGTGTGTGTGTGTGTGTATGTGTGTGTTTTACAGTCTGTAACCTGAGTTGGTTCTCTGTCATTGAGGTGATGAATCAGAGGGGGGACTTCTAACGTGGGCTCTGGGGCGGGGGTCCAGTTGTTGCATAAACTGTATGAAATGTACGAACACAAAAATAAAAGATCCGAACATGTTTATGTTCTGCTTTCATCTGTAAGAGCAGATTAACCGCATCCCTAATCTGAAACTGAACCTGTTGAAGGATTAGGTGACCCCCGTCCCTTCCTGACCTCAGACCTAAAGTTTAATTTTTTTGTATTAAAGGTTTATTCAGCCTCAGCTCACAGACTCTGAGGACACAGGTGTGTTGGGCTGAGTGATTACGCAGGTGATTGAGCATAAACCCAAGAATCAAGAGGATTTTCAACCCAATTACCCTTCAAATCCTCCTCCGGTCAGTTCCCGGACAGCTGGGAACCGAACGGAGGAGTGTCAGATGCCAGCATACACACACACACACTCACACACACACACACACACACTGAGATGACAACACGGAGCAGGAATAGAAACAGGTTGTGTATAAAAGCCGTGGATTGAGCCGAGCCCAGACAGAAACAGAGGCTCCGTCCAGCTGCAGCTGAAGCTGAAGCTGAAGCGTCCTGCAGAGGAAACATCTCCGGCACTAAAGAGGCTTTCAGGACCCAGAGAGGGAGACAGATGCCCATCTGCAGCATGCTGGAGAAAAGCAACGGGGTGGTGGTGGGAGCAGAGCTGACCTGCAGCGTCCGGGAGGAGAACAAGGCCAAGAAGGAGACCTACAGCGCTGACTGGAACAGTGTTGGTCTGAAAACACGGCCTGAGGACAGGTGAGACCACACCTGTTCTAATTCATCAACAAGCACCCCTCTAACGTCTCTAATATCTCTAATGTCTCTAATGTCTCTAATGTCTCTAATGTCTCTAATGTCTCTAACATCTCTAATGTCTCTGTCTCTAATGTCTCTAATGTCTCTAATGTCTCTAATGTCTCTAACGTCTCTAATGTCTCTAATATCTCTAACGTTTCTAATGTCTCTAATGTCTCTAATATCTCTAACGTCTCTAATGTCTCTAATGTCTCTAATGTCTCTAACGTCTCTAACGTCTCTAATATCTCTAATGTCTCTAATGTCTCTAATGTCTCTAATGTCTCTAATGTCTCTAACGTCTCTAATGTCTCTAATATCTCTAACGTTTCTAATGTCTCTAATGTCTCTAATATCTCTAACGTCTCTAATGTCTCTAATGTCTCTAATGTCTCTAACGTCTCTAATGTCTCTAATGTCTCTAATGTCTCTAACGTCTCTAATGTCTCTAACATCTCTAATGTCTCTGTCTCTAATGTCTCTAACATCTCTAATGTCTCTAACATCTCTGTCTCTAATGTCTCTAATGTCTCTAACATCTCTAATGTCTCTGTCTCTAATGTCTCTAATGTCTCTAACATCTCTAATGTCTCTGTCTCTAATATCTCTAATGTCTCTAATGTCTCTAACATCTCTAACATCTCTAATGTCTCTGTCTCTAATATCTCTAATGTCTCTAATGTCTCTAACATCTCTAATGTCTCTGTCTCTAATGTCTCTAATGTCTCTAATGTCTCTAACATCTCTAATGTCTCTGTCTCTAATGTCTCTAACATCTCTAATGTCTCTGTCTCTAATGTCTCTAACATCTCTAATGTCTCTGTCTCTAACGTCTCTAATGTCTCTAATGTCTCTAATGTCTCTAATGTCTCTAACGTCTCTAACGTCTCTAATGTCTCTAACATCTCTAATGTCTCTGTCTCTAATGTCTCTAATGTCTCTAATGTCTCTAATGTCTCTAATGTCTCTAATGTCTCTGTCTCTAATGTCTCTAATGTCTCTGTCTCTAATGTCTCTAACGTGACTTTTTCCTGCTGTCCTCAGACAGACCCTGAATATGAACGACGACTCCCGCAGAGAGACCCTGTCCCGGCAGTGGCAGTGCCGCTCCCTGATCCAGACCTGTCCCTCCGGGGTCTTCAGGGTGGGCACCGTGGAAAGAGGGGTGAGCGAGCACCAGCTGCTGCCCAGGAGGAGCACCCTCCCGCTGCCCATCTTCAGCCCCGCCGAGCTGGGCGTCAGGCTGGGGCGCGGGGCCCCCCACACCGAGCAGGACCTGCAGCCCTGCCACACCCCGGACGGAGTCTGTCCCGGCAAGAGGTCCGTGGACGAAATCACCCGGGACCTGCCGCCCGTCAAGCCCGTCTTTATGGAGTTCGTTAAAGTCCCCAAAGCCCTGGGTCGCTCCATGTCCCAGGAGGCCCAGAGGGGCTGAGAGGAGGAGGAGGAGGATCATCGTCATGTAGACTCAACTCTACTGACATTTTTCAGAAAATTATCAGTTTTAATGTTGGTATTTCCTGTATTTATCACTGTGACAGAGAGGATAGATGAAGAGCTCTTATTGTGAAGCTTGCACTCATGCACTTTTATTTTGAAAAGTGCCAATTTTAAGACAGGATTGTTTTGGATATATGGCAACACGTGTACGATAGAGAAGTTTAAATGTGTACGGAAAGATGGGAAGAGGTGGAGGATGGCTAGAGGAAGTGTGAGGGAGGAGGGAGGAGAGGAGGGGGAGGAGGGAGGAGAGGAGGGGGGGAACATAATGTTTGACTTGGTTCTCCTCCAGAAGCTTCTGCCAGCTTCTGATCTGTGTGGAGAGAACAGAATGCGCTGGCACTGTCACACACTGTTGGTGTTCAGAGTGTGTGTTTCTATGTGTGTGTGGACTGTCAAACACCTAGACTGACCCACAACAACACACTTGTTTTACTGTTTGTTAGATCCTTGACACTCTTCGGTGTTCAGGCATGTAAATGAATTGAAAATGTGTGAATATATTATTCTTTTTTTCTTAGAAATGTGTTATTTTTACGAATAAAATAAAAAATTACTCTTACTTTTCAGTCTACATGTTGATTAATGCATATTAAACTTTTTTATTCTCTAACCTCTGAAGGTTTAGTGAAAATATAATTGCAGTTCCTAAACTTTTAACTTCTGACTCCCAAAATAAAAATGCTAAMGTAGACTCCGAACATTCGTTGAACAAGTAAATAAAACAACACATCATGAAGCGTTAATTCAATCTGGAAGACTCTTCAGCCTCATCTGCATCACCCAGTTGCTGCATCACATCAAGGCCCTGCGCAGAGGTTTCTAGTAACTATGTACATTTACTTTGTTACAGTACTTAAGTAGTTTTTTGAGGATTTGTAATTTTACCAATTATTTTTAAATAGCTACTTTTACTTTTATTTTGTTACATTTTAAAGCTAAAAATGATACTTTTACTTCTTTACTTTAAAATTTAACACCTAGTTACTCGTTAAAAAATTAAATATGTTCGAACTCATCATGAAAGATGTTTTTGCACTTTAAAATGAAGTGTTGAATTTACTCAATAAAGTCATGTTAACTGACTCCACTGAGTCTAGCTGAGTAAATTGAGCAAAGGATATACATATATCGCTCAATTTACTCAACCTGGCTTAGTGGAACCAGTTTGGTTCAGTAAATTCAACAGTTTATATCTCAGAGAGTGTGTAAATGTACTTTTACTTTCCCAACATTTGTGAACAGTTTTATGACTTTTATTGAGTAGTTTTCTCATCAGTGAAATTTATTTTTTACCAAAGTCATTTTCTGTTCATGTAATTTTACTTTTACTCACCGTATTTATTCGTGTATAATACGACCCACCCTATTTTTTATCTTAAAAAGCGTAAAAAATTTAATTCTCATACTACCTCTAATTTCATATGGACTTCAGGATTTTTCAGCCTTTGCAGTCTTTATATATACGTGTATATATA